TCAGGCTGGACTGGATGTTTCCAAGCCCTCTCCCCCCTCCCACCTTTGAAGGGGAAGCCAGGCTTGTGTCTGGTATTTTGTTCAACGATCAAACAATATTACCTAAAAGATGGCGGAGAGCTTGGAACACGGGAAACGTCCCGTCCCTGTCTCTGGCCAGGGCCTCTGGCAGCCCTTATGGGCCCGGAGACACGGTTCTTCGTGGTCACGGCCTCAGCTCTGCTCCTGTCTTTTGACTTGACATCAACCGCTTTTCCCTCCTTGTTGCCGACATGGTCAGAACCACTGTTTTTCTAACGGCGGCTCGAGGATCCCCAGACTCCTGGAGTTTTCTGCCCTGAGCTGTTAAGAACCTCAAATACCTGTCACCCATTCCTGAGCCACCCCCCATGCCCTCCCAGCCTGCCCACCTCCCTGCCCCCCTTCTGTCCCTCCCACAGGAATACGGGGACACTGTGTACACCATCGAGATTCCCTTTCATGGCAAGACGTTCATCCTGAAGGTGAGTGAGGGAACTGGGTGTTCTGGCGGGTCCTGAGCCTCTGGGACTCCAGGTGGGGGCTGAGGGGCCCGCTGGCAGACTTCTCGCCACCAAGAGGGAAGGGCTGGGGTGCCCGGGCACAGCTGGCACCACCCCGCCCTCTGCCCGCCCTGCCTAGACCTTCCTGCCCTGCCCTGCGGAGCTGGTGTACCAGGAGGTGATCCTGCAGCCCGAGAGGATGGTGCTGTGGAACAAGACGGTGACCGCCTGCCAGGTGAGCGGGTCGGGGCAGCGGCCAAGGACACGGCAGGTCAGGGCACGGCATGGCCAGCTCCCCCAGGCGCCCTGGGTCCTGCCATTGGACTGCTCTGTGCCTCAGCTTCCCCTTCTGTGAAGTGGGGGTGATGGCAACCGTGTTCCCCGGAGAGGGTTGGGAAAGTGGACGGCGCCTGGCCCAGGCCCCAGGAATGGGAATGGCTGTTGGTAAAGGGACCTGAGCCTGGAGCAGGCGGGGCTGGAGTCTCCTGGGGTGGGCCGCACCTCATGTCCCCCACCCCCCGCAGATCCTGCACCGGGTGGAAGACAACACCCTCGTTTCCTATGATGTGTCCGCAGGGGCCGCGGGTGGGGTGGTCTCCCCTAGGTGAGTAGCCACCACGGCCCTCCTCTCAGGCAGGCCTCCTGCCCCTGCATGTTGGGCATGGCACCCCCTGACCTAACACTCCCTCCCCCAGGGACTTCGTGAATGTCCGACGCATAGAGCGGCGCAGAGACAAATACCTGTCTTCGGGCATCGCCACCACCCACTGCGCCAAGCCCCCCACCCACAAATACGTCAGGTGAGCCTTGCCCTGCCCAGGGTCATCCCAGCCAGCCCCTCCCAGGCCGCGGTGAGGACAGGCGGTGACAGTGTACAGCTGGGGGCTCTCTGCTGCTGAGGTCGCCTTCCTGTCCCCTGTCCCACTGGGCTCTGTCCTCCCGGCCCCTAATCCGGCTGATCCGCTGCTCCGTGCTGGCGGCTGGGGGAGTGATGTGTGGACCACACCACCCACTCTGGGCTCCAGGGCTAGACTGGGACAGGGCCTGCCCCGGGCCACCCGAGAAGGAGGTTCGAGTCCCCTTTCCCCGTCCTCGCCCTGTCCGATAGCCTTTCTCCTGAGCGCTCGGAAGTCCGCCAGAGGAAGAGTGGCGCGGTGCCCGCGGCCTGTTCCAGGCGTCCCGCGGTTCTCCGTCTGTCTAATCCTAGACTCCAGGGCCTCAGGCGGCCTCTGCCCAGATCCCCCCCTTCCCCTTCCTTCCTGGGCTCGCAGAGAGCACGGTTGTTTGGGTATCAGACTGGGGCTCTGGTCTCAGCGCGACCCAGACTTGCTGGGTGACAGGCAAGCTTGTTTCCTCTCGGGGCGCCAACGTCCTTATCTATGGAGTGGGCTTAAGCGTGCTCAGTGGAGCTGTGGGCAGATTAAATGGGGTGAGATGTGAATACAGCCCAGGCCCTGACCACCTCCTGAGAGGGCACCTCCTCCTGGAAGCCACCAGCACCCCTCTGCTCCCTGAATTGGGCAGGGATGAGAAGTGCCCGCCCGGCCACCCCTCACAGCTAGAGCTGACCTAGGATGACCCGAGAGTGGTGAGGGCTGGGCGGGTGGGGAGCACCTGGGTGTGCAGACCTGGCAGTTGCGGTAGGAGCATCACAAGGGGGTTGGGGTGGGAAGTCGTGGGCTCTGGGCACCTGCTCTGGCCCTGCTCCCGCAGGGTAGCAGTTGCTGGACTGGCAGATCCCTTCCCTCTTCCGCCCACGTCCAAGGTGGGCCAGGAATGGAGGGGGCGAGTCCGGGGCCTGGCCTGGCTCCAGAGTCCCCAGTGGTACCTCTCCCCTCAGGGGCGAGAATGGTCCTGGCGGCTTCATCGTGCTCAAGTCGGCTAGCAACCCCCGAGTCTGCACCTTCATCTGGATCCTTAACACAGATCTCAAGGTGAGGGGCTGGGGCTGCAGGCAGGCTCCGTGCCGTGGAGGCTCTGCTGTGTGATCTCGGGGCTCCCTGCCCCGCTCGAGCCTCCCCTCCTCTCCACCTCCTTTCTTACTCTTAGATTTGGTGACAGAGCCCCAATCTTGCTGCCCTCAGTAGCTGGAGGGCCTGTGCCTCTCGTTTCTTACCTCTGGCTCCTGAGGCCCTGAGGAGAGGTGGCTGGCTGCCAGCCTAGCCCCTCCCAGGTCTGTTTGGCTGGCTGGTGCCAAGACCTGGGCACAGGATGTTCTTCCTGCCAAGGGTGAGGGGGCGAGGGTGGCCCCGGTGGCATTCCAGAGCTGCACCTGCATTCTGGCCCAGAGCACTCCCTGCTGGTGCCTCACTGAGGGAGGAGCCCTGCTGAAAGCTAATCCCCACCTTCTCCTCCCTACCCCTCCCCAGGGCCGCCTGCCCCGGTACCTCATCCACCAGAGCCTCGCAGCCACCATGTTTGAATTTGCCTTTCATCTGCGGCAGCGCATCGGAGAGCTGGGGGCCCGGGCGTAACGGTGCCCTCTCGCCACCCTGCGGGCCAGGGTTCGGTCGCTACAGCCTCCAGAGCCAGAGAGGGGGCCGGCGGGCTGCCCACAGAGGACCTGGCCTCAGGAGGACGAAGCAGTTCCCTCCCATGGCACCCCCTGACCCCAGGCTGCCAGGCTCCGCTGTGCCTGAGCCACGGCCGGGAGCAGGGTGTGGGGTCAGCACCTAGACGCCGGGCTCTGCCACCGGGGCAAGTGGAGTCTGTCCTGCTGATGTTTACATGGTGCCCCGCCCAGCCCAGGGCAGGGTCTGGAGTGGGAGCCTCAGATGTGGTGGGTGAGGGCCAGGGCCCTGGGCAGGATGGGCCAGAGCGGCCTTGTCACCGGTTCCGGTGCAGGAGCCCCGTCATCTGCCTGCTCTCATCACGGTTTGGGGATCGTTTAAAGGGTCTGGGACCTCTTTCCACACGTACTTGTGGGGGAGTGGGCGGCAGGTGGGGATGGTAGGTGCTGTCAGTGAACCCCTGCCTCTATGAACTCAAAAGAGAAAAAAGCAAGCCCTCCAGCTGGCCATTTGAGGGAAGGGAGGGTAGCACTCCAGATGGGGAAGGAGTGAGCCACCACCGGGCCAGACGCATGGCACATTCTCTCACCCCCCTGAGCCAGTGGGACTCAGTTCCTGGACTCCTCCCTCTCCCTCCCCCCCACATACGCACACACTTTCCTGAATGGCTCAACTGGGCAGATGACAGGGCAGAGAAAAATGCCCCACCCACCCCTGCCAGGCTTCCTGTGAGGAAGGTCAAGTTAAGGTCTCAGTCCAGGATTGGGGAGGAGGTAGGAGAGACCCAGCAGGCCCATAGCAGGCCCTGGCTGTTTCTGGGGTCCCATGACCAGCAGGGGCCTGGAGGAGGGGTCTGGGCTTCCTGGTCACTGAGGCACCTCTGGGTTCTGTTCCATCTGTACGTACCCCCTGGGCCTGGCCACACTCACAAGAGTCAGATCCCAGGCGAGGGCCGGGGTGCTGCCCTCCTCCCTCCCTGCCTGCAGGCTCCCGAAGGAGCCCATCTCGGTCCTGGCTGTGTGTGACCCTGGGCGGAACTGCGCCAGGGCCTCCGTTTCCTACTTTGTAAGCATGAGACTATCATGTCAGGGCTATTATCAGATTAAAGTACCAAGCGCAGGTATAGTGCCTCAGTCATCAAGAGTACGCAGTCCTGCCCCAGGGGTGCCAGCTGCCCCCACAGGTCCGCATCTCGGCTCCTGTCACTGCCTCTTCTGGTGCTTTGTCCACATTCCTCCTCCCTCTCCTACCCCCTCGCCCCCGCCCCTGCCCACCACCTTGTGTGCCAGCTCACAGCCCAGCAGGCATCCCGCCATCCTGCTCCCCGTGACCAGACCGAGGCCCAGGCCCTGCCCAGGTGACACAGTGGAGCTGGCAGGCCCCGAGCTCTGGTCAGGCTGTTGTAACCAGAAGGTGAGGGGAGATGAAGCCCAGAAAGGGGCAGGGACTCCCCATTGTCACCCCGTTAATGACTGATTTGGGACTAGAGCCTGGTCTGCTGACCGCCACTCATCAGAGCCCCTGGCTTGCCCCCTCACCCTGTTTTACCCGACCTGGGGTATTGGGACTAGAGCTGGGGGCCACTCCCACACCTTGCTCTACCCTGACTGGCTGGATTTGGGAGACCCCTTCTCTGACCACTGGCCAGACTCCAGGTGGGGAGTGAGCTGCCCGATCCCAGCCACCGGGGTGGTGCTGACAGTCCAGAGCGGCCTCCATGCCGACACCTGAGGACGTGGTTGCACTGTCCCTGTGGAGGGCATGGTCAGGGCTGTGCCCTCACACCCAGGCAGAGGAGAGCAATGGCTGGGGACCTGACGGCCTGGTGCGCAGTCCAGAGGGGCCTCAGTTCTTGCACTCTCCTGCTCTGTTTACAGACAAGCCTCTGTCCTGGTGAGGGGGGAGGGGTGGGGCCGAGAGCAGGTGCCAAGGTGGCACGAGGCTGGGCATGTGCCTGGTGGTCTCAGTGTCCAAGGCGTGTCAGACACCAGGAGGTGTCGCACGGAAGACCCCTGCCCCCACCGGGGTATCTTGATCTCTTCAGAAGCTGACCTCTGACCTGGGGTCAGCCAAAAGTCCAGGCACCCCACCCCCCAGCCTGGGCCCAGTGTCCCCCATCAGAGTCTTGGCTCTTCTTATGGCATCTGACACCAGAGGGGCTGAAAATAGCCCTGGAGGAGGGGAGGAGGGGCTATTTAAAGGACCTGGAAGGAGCAGAGGGGGTGAGGCTGATCATGGCCACTTCAGAGCTGAGCTGCCAGGTGTCTGAGCAGAACTGTGAGCGCCGGGAGGCCTTCTGGGCTGAATGGAAGGATCTGACACTGTCCACGCGGCCTGAGGAGGGGTGAGTGCTGGCCAGCGGGGGGTCCCTCCTCTCCTCCCCAGCCTTAGGAAGCCTGAGCACCAAGTTCCTCGGCGTGGGGTCACCCCTCCTGCACCCACCGGGTCCCCTGCCCAGCCCGTAATGGAAGGCACCGCTCAGGAGCTCAGCACCCCTCCCCGCTCCCCCCAGGTGCTCCCTGCATGAGGAGGATGCCCGGCGGCATGAGACCTACCACCGCCAGGGCCGGTGCCAGGCGGTGGTGCAGCGGTCCCCCTGGCTGGTGATGCGCATGGGCATCCTGGGCCAAGGTCTGCAGGAGAG